TATTAAAATAATTATTATAATTTAATAAAATTTATTCTGTTGGTTTGTAGTAGTAGATAATCACAATTAAATATATAAAATATATATATAAGATATGTATTAATTTAAATGTGCTGTGAATTTTATAAAAATTTAATATAAAATGCAATGGAACATTGATAAAAAATAAGATAAGAATAAATATACCCTGGTATTATTACACTTTTTTCTAAAAACTTTAATAAAATAAAAAAATTATATAAGCACTTTTTGAAAATAAGTTTAAGCAATTTTTTTATGCTACTCTGATTAAATAATTTTTTTATATTTTTGTGCACGGATTTAATATTATTTATAAATCAAAGCATATAAAATATTTTATAAATTAATTTATGTACATATTATTTAGAGAAGGATGGAATCAAATAATGCAGGTTACTAGTTAGGAAACTGCAGCATCCCTAGCAACAGGAACAATTTAAATTCTAAATTTCTAATAAATGTATAAATTAAAAAAGTAAATGAAATAATTTAAAGAAATTTATTTACTATAGTGGTTATAATGATAGACAGAGGAAATGATAACATTAATATTATTATTTTAATAAAAAACTAACATGAAAAACAAAACTATTTAAAGTTTATTATTTATTTAAAAAGTTTATTTAATAGAATCTTTTAGAATTATAATCTTAGAACTATAAAATTTCATATTGGTAGTGAAGGCAAAAAATTGGGATAAAGTGGATAAATAAATATGAAAATACAAAATAATTTTAAATTTTATTTTAAAAGATGTCAACATTCATGAATGAAGAGATTGAGGAATTGGTAGAGGAGAAACGTGTTAGCAAGAAGACAATGCTGCAACAATAATATAATACATATAAAAATAAAATTGAGTTGAAATTTATTTAAACCGATCCCGAACAACCAATTCCAAGGACAGAAAACATATAATAAAATAGATAGCAAACAAAATGCATAGTTTTATAAACTTATTTCAATAAATCTTTAAAATCATATTTAAAATGCAAATTTACATATTATAATTATGATACAAAATCTTAATTATTATAAAAAAAGCATAATTAGCTTTATTAATTGCAATCAAATAATTTTAATTATAATATAAAAATATTCTTAAAAATATCTTGTCTGCTTAAAATAAAATAAATTTAAAAAATTTTCAATAATTAACATTAATAATTTAATGGACAGTTCACAGAATTGTAATGGACAGTTCACAGACGAATATCCTTTCCACAACAATTTAAATTGCTTAAGAATTATTAGTTTTTTACTCATAAAGTAAAATTCATTATTTATTCGTCAAATTTAAATTAATAATTATTTTAAATTTATAATAATGTCAAGATAAATATATAATTACGAGAGGGAAATATGATAAATCGAATTCCGTCAGTCCTGCCTATTATTATTAATTCTTATATGTATATAATTAAAAAACATTAATTCATTAACATTAATAAAAATAATAATTCATTATATTAATTGCTAATATTCATAAACATTCATACAGGATAAAACTATAAAATTTAATATTACATATTTTCAAAAAAATAAATTGGCATCAAACCTATAATATCACTGGAATAGTACAAAATTTATTTTTGATTTTATAGCGAAAATGTAATTTAATTTTAAAGTTTAATTGAAGTTTAATTTAATTTTAAAGCAAAAATCAAAAAATAATTAGTAATAGAAATAATTAACAAGAATTCTATGATCAAATGTTTGTAGTTGATAATAAAAAACAGATACATAAGTTTTAATAAGGTGCATTTCTGTATACTTTAAAATGGTTTTTAAAGTATCATGCAAAAAATTTCAATATAGGCAACAATGATGTCTAGATGACGGGACAAATCATATAGAGAATGAATACAGAAACATTATAATTTATTTTTAATTAATTATAAATTTCAATTAATATTAAAATTATTAATACATAAAATAACAAAAAAAATTATAAAAATACTTTTAAAAATTATATTTTTCTTAAATTAGAATTTAAATTTAATAGATTTATATTGTTTAAAAAAATTAAGCATTAAAATTTAATTTAAAAAATTAATATTTATTTAGTAAAAATAAGGGAATAAAAATAACAAAATTAAAGAATTCTGACTTGGTGCAAAAAAATGGAAGGCAGTGTCAATAACGACATATATTTTATATAAAAAATATCAAAAAATAAACTATGAGGATAATATGTATTTTTTGTAAATTTAAATATTTAAAATCAAAATTTAATTGATTATATAGTACCACTTTTGCCCAAATTAACTAATAAGTCCAAAAAGTGGCCCGATATCCTCATTCAATATTTAATTTAAATTTTTGTGTTTTAATAATTTATTTGCTATTTACAATAATTTATATTTTTAAGAATTATTAATTTTTTTGTATAAAGTAAAAATTAAAATTTATTCATTAATATTTAAATAATAATTATTTTAAATTTATACATAATGTCAAAATAAAATACAAGAATATTAATATAACAGAGAGATGTCATAAATCGAAGTCTGTCAATCCTGCTTATTAATCACTTCAAATTATTATTATATGTACATGCTTAATAAATCATAAATTTATTAACACTAGCGAAGAAAAAAAATCTAGCGAAGACAAGAAAAACAATAAATTTTAATGAGAGTACAAAATGTTTAAAATATCCTTTTGTTTGTTTACACTTTTTCCTCGAAAATAAAATTAAAAAAATAAAAAAATATTGCTTGTTTGATTTGAACTAGGAGAAAATTTTTAATTTCTTAAGAAACTTTATAACTTATTTTATAATTATATCTTTAAATGATATTAATTACATATATTTATAAAATAAAATACATTTATAATATTATATTTTTATGAATTACATAGAATTTACTTAATTTAGTAAAATCAGGAAATGAAAATAATGACATTATAGAATCCCTACTTGTTAAAAAAATTAAGAAGAGATGTCAAGAAGACATGTTTTATTTAAAAATATGAAATAATAAACGATGAAACTATGTAGTATTATTTTTTGATTTTTGAAAATATAAATATTTAAATTATAATCCAATAATTGTGTTGAAAAGCTTTTTAGTAAATTATTTAAATTTAAATTACTAATATTTATTATTATTTGCTTAAAAAATTAAAAATGATTTTGATGATTACAAATGCTTTAAATATTCAAAGATAAATTAAAACGTAAAATAATATATCAGTTTTATAAATTCTGTCTGAATTGTCACATTTAATATAATTAAATTTATTTTTAATAAAAATTTTGTTATGGAATAAATTTTAGAAGTTATTTTAAAAAATAATATATTTTTACACAATTTCTTGAGATTTATTTTTAAATAACTAGCATTTGCCCAGCAAATATTTATACATTTGTCGGAAAAATTATTGATGACCCAAAATGGATCAAGTTAAATATAAAAAAATATTATATTCTTCCTTCTATTTTTCTAACCATTTAACTAATTAAAAATAAATGGAATAATGACTAAAAATTTGTCAATTTTTGATTTTATATAGTTAAAATTTCTTTTATTAAATCTATAATTGATAAAATAAGCTATCTAATGATATTATTTAATGAAAATCTCATATCAGTAATAAATCTTTTGTAAAAATTTTTTAAATAACGTATATAAAGATCTAAAAAACGTATATAAAGATCTACGTATATAAAGATCTAAAATAAATCATTAGGTTCAAAATTGCAAATTGTTATATTAAATTGCATCTAAACACAATATCGAACTTAAAATTAACCCTTGAAAATTTCAATAACGAATTCATTTTCAGAAACAAGTTTATAAAATATTATAAAATAGAAAATATAAGTAATCAAGTTAAATTCATTTAAAAGTGAAAAATTGAAAAAATAAGTTAACTTTATAATTAATTTAGCCAAATTATAATATACCTACCTATTTTAATTAAAAAATCTTAATAATAAATATATTTAAAAGAAATATAAACATGTTTTTTGTTAGAACTAAGTATTTATATCTCCTATTTAAAAATTTACGTTACTAAAAGTATATTCAAGTCTTATCTTGTTAAATTGGCAAATCTACTCTAAAGTATTCATTAGAGAAATAAACAGAAATGGTTTTTTGTGAAAAACTGAAAACGATGATGAAAATACATAGTTTAAGTAACATAGAATTATAATAGTATAAGAAGAAAAGTATAATGCATGGCTTGAAAAATTTCTTAAGCGTCATAATCTCAAACCACAGTTTGCCAGAAGACACCAAGTGAATATGAAGAAAAGTACATCTTTAAATTTATATTGTTTGTTCAATAACTACGAATTAAGACTCATTATGGGCGACATATTTATGAGTGTGATGAAACTTCCGTATGGTTTATTAAAAAAATAAATTAATTAAATGTAAATATAATGGAGTAATATTTAGTTTAGAATTATGTATATACATAATTTAATATGATTATATTCTTTAAAGATTTTATCGAAAAATTTAATCCAAGTATAATTCTAATTAACTTCAAATTAAGAGGGCTAAACTCATAAAACTGAATAAATAAATGTGATTTTTTAATATAACAATTTGATTATCATGCTTGAAGAAAAGTATATATTTTGGTAATGTATATATTTTGGTAATTTCTATGGATTTAAAAAGAATAATGTAATAGTTTACACAGAGCTGTTTCGAAATTTCGATTTTAATTCATAACAGCTCTAGTCTAGAAATAACAAAAAATATATTTAATAAAAGAAATAATCCATTTCATAATTTCAAGAAAAAATTTGGATAACTTACCGTATTATCTCTAATAGAATGGCCGGCCATTCTATTTTTCAATCACCCTCTAGGGGGCCATTCTATTAGAAGGGGCCATTCAAATGGAGACGGCCATTCTATTTTTCAATGAGTAAATTTTAAAGTTTAAAAAAATTTTTTATCACAAAAAAGTTTAAAATTTGATAAAATAATTTGCAGCAACAAAATTAAAAAATTTTACAATTCCAAAGAATTATCACTCAAAATTCCATTTTCCTCATCCTGCATTAAATCAACCTCTTCAAATAATTCAGTTAACACATTAAATTCATTTTCTTCTCTTTCCTTCCTCATCAGTTCAGCTCCGGATGGAATGGGACCGGTCGGCTTAAAAACATGTATTTTATCGTCTTCTGAACCATCAACATTGTTCGAAATTCCACAAATTTTAAAAGAATTTGCTATCATCTCTTCTGACAAATCATCCCACGCTTCTGCAATCCAGTTCAAATATACTAGCATTGGTGGTGCCTTTACATTCCCTTTTGACGTTGTCTCTTTTTCTCCGTGAAGCATCCAATCCTCATACGACTGTCTGATTTTTGCTTTAAATGGCGCATTCCAACAAACATCAGCCATCTATTAATTAATGTTTATTATGGATTAAATTTAAGTAACGAACTTGAAGAAATTTTGTTGTCCCTCCAGGAATGACAGCCGTTTCTATTCTTAATTTTGTCAACACAGTTTTAGTAGCATGTGAAATGTGTGATCTATAATATAAAATACTTATAGAAACTAATTACCATTATTCTAAATGAGAAAAACCTGAATGAATCCCAAACAAGAAGTCTATTTCCAAAAAGAAAATTTCCAAAAACTTTATTCAAATATAATTCAGTAAGTGAATCATCCATCCAAGTTCTACCTGACCAACAAAGAATCAATTTGTTTTTGAATTTCTCTGTGACAACAACAACAGGACGTTTGCGAGGTAAAAGAACGAATGGTTTGCATTTGTAACCATCAGCTCTAGCTGTCAACAAAACTGTAAGCCTCATTTTTTCGTGGCCAGTAGATAAAACCGAAACCTTAGAAGATTCGAGTAAAATTAAACATCCTATTAAAAACCTCCTTAGCACCTCGCTTTTCAACCGAATTCCCACCAGTGTCCAACCAAACAGATGTCTCATCACAGCCATAAATTCTGTTACCAAAATGTTTATTCAAACGGAGTTGTCGTACATACATTAAAAATTGAACAATTGTTTTCTCATATTGGATAGGGGGTTTTTGACACGCGGTAGTGGGCCTTCGATTGGATAAATTATGACGTCTGAGAAATTTATCCAGCCAACCTAGGCTTGCCTTAAATTTATAAATAAATATCCACATATTTCTAAGTTATTAATAAACCTTAAACTCAGCAGTTTCTTCATCATCGCCGTCCTCTGACTTCTCAAAAAATTTTAACGCTTGTTGTTGTATTAAGCGTCGAGAAACTCTTTGTTTTTCTTGACGACGACATCGAATCCATTCAATCAATTTTTCATCTAAATTTTTGTTAAGAAGATGACGGCCAGCACCAGACAAACGCTTTTTTGAATTAGAATTTGATGTTACCTCACTAAAAATATCAATTGAAATTTTAGGGAAAATAAGTGACTTACTATAATGTCCTAAGTTCCTTCTCTTGCTTGATCCATTTTTGTAGTGAACCTCTTAAAACCCCAAATTTTCGACTTGTTGAATGGATTGAATTAGATTTAGAAAATTCAATTGCCTCAAGTTTTTGTTTTAAAGAATAAGAACGCCGACATTTTTTTATTTTGCTTGGCCCAGCTTCATTATCAGATTCACTTATATTTAATACATCAACGTCTGAATCACTCATTTTTTAGAATAGAAGCTTCGAAAAAAATATAAATTAAAAATAGTTCCCATGTTGTATAAATAATAATAAAAAAGGGGGGCCATTCTATTAGAAGGGCCATTCAAATGGAGACGGCCATTCTATTTTTCAATCATCCTCTAGGGGGCCATTCTATTAGAAGGGGCCATTCAAATGGAGACGGCCATTCTATTAGAGATAATACGGTACTTAAGGATATTTTCACAAACATAGAAATTTTAAATTAAAAAATCTTATTTAAAAAGGAAAAATTTTTGAGAAGTGGGAAGAAAATTTTAAAAAAAATTTTAGAGGAGAAAATTTGACAATTATAGTTTGTTCAATATTTTAAAAATGTGTTAAAATAAATGTCTGTCTAATTAAATTATTTAAATAAATTTTTTTAATTTAATGAATTATTTCAATAGGGATTTTCTTTCAATACAAGGTTTTAATGTAATACCTAATATAATATATTATTCATCGCTTTAATTATCATCTCATAATAAAAATGATGCACATATTTATTCATAGCTTAATTAATAAAATTTAAAACTTATTCTAATTTCTATAATTTTTTTGTTATTTTTTACATATTTTACAAAGTACAGTTTGACTATTACTCATAAAATATGCATAATGACAGACTTGCAAACCCACAATTGTCAAACCACCCGAACCCTAGTAAATATCACAATTCTTAGCTTAAAGTTCTTTCATCGGAATGTTCAAATATTTCATGCATAAATTTAGGGAGAAACATATTCTGCATCTTACTATCCTGTTCTAGAAGTTTTCGATGAGTTTTGTCAAATTGAAATGCTGCATTTAAGGTCATCATCTATCAAATTTTAAATTAGTGAAAAAATATATATAATTTTCCAGAATCCATCATAATAAAATATGTATTTTACCAAATTAGCGAATCTCCCTGCCCCGCCTACATCACCCCATTTGCAACATTCGTAAAACATTAAAGCTTTGGAAAGTTTTTCAATTTCAGTTTGTACTATTTCATATCCAATCATTGACAAGTCTGATTTAGCTAAAATTTGCATATACCTCTGAATGTATTTATTTCTGCTCAAACCTGTGTGAAGAAAAATTAGTGTTAGAATAATCAAAAATTCTTCTCTGCTCAGATTAAATTCTTTCATTTTAATCACATGCTTGTAGAATACAAGATGAAAAAGTTTCAAATGAGTAAATAATAAAGGACTAAATCCATTAGGAAATATAAGAATCTCGCTTCCTTGAATGTTTAAACTGTAATATAATTGGCTAAAAACAATTGTTGCCAATCCATTTCGAGTATAAAGCCTAACCTAAATTTTTTGTGTTATACATTTTTAAATATTTCTTTAATTAACTTTGTCTTCAAATGAGAGTTGACTTAATACTGGCCATGTTTTTGTCATTTCAATAATTAAAAATGAGTCGATGAAAAGCCAATTTGGAGATACAGGGCCATCATTACCTTGACTTATCCTTCTGTCAAATTCCCTCAATCGTTCCTGGTAAAAGTCAAGACTTTTAGGTACTCTCCTCTGATTCTAATAAATTTCAATAATACAGTGCCGGAAAAAAAGATAGGACCAGACGCACACATTTTCCTTGCTTCAAATTATCTTTCGAATTTTAGGCTTTTAAGAGAAAAAATTTGTCAGAAACTATTGATTAATTTATCCTCTATCAAATGAGTACAAATATTCTTTTTTTTATTAGCAATTAATACTACAAAACATTAAAAACAAATACTACTCAATTTTTGGGGTGGAAAAAAAGATAGGACCAGACTAGAAATATCGACTTTTGTTCGGTCAAAAATTCTGTAAAAATTTTTATGAACATTTCCATCGATACTAAGTAGAAAATTAAAAAGAACGAGTTCTGTAACTTATTTCTTCATCGAGATCTCAAATCTCGAAAATCAACGGAAAATCGGAGTACAGTACTTAAAAAAATATTTTAACCCCCTAGAGCTTAAATTAAAAATTTTATTTTAGGCCTATCTGAAAGCCCATAAAATTTACTACAAAATAGTCCGAAAATTAATCTTTCTAAAAAAATATCCGTTTAACCCTAGTCCACTTTACATTAAAAGTGACAAAATCTCCCAAAATACCCCAAAAAAGATAACTTTCTCAATTTCCCGGTCCGTATCTCCATGAATTTTTTAACGGAAATTTTAAACGTGAGATATTCTTATAGCAAATTTTATGGGCTTTCAGATAGGCCTAAAATAAAATTTTTAATTTAAGCTCTAGGGGGTTAAAATATTTTTTTAAGTACTGTACTCCGATTTTCCGTTGATTTTCGAGATTTGAGATCTCGATGAAGAAATAAGTTACAGACCTCGTTCTTTTTAATTTCCTACTTAGTATCGATGGAAATGTTCATAAAAATTTTTACAGAATTTTTGACCGAACAAAAGTCGATATTTCTAGTCTGGTCCTATCTTTTTTTCCACCCCAAAAATTGAGTAGTATCGTTTAAATTTTTTTGTAAAAAATTTTTTGGGTAAATTATCTCGATATTTATAATCATTTTAAAGACCATTTAAAGATCTACAATTTTTGTGTTGAAACTTTTTTTCTGAAAGTTAATCGAAAAGAGATAATCGATAAAAACTAATTTAACAGCCTCTGGTCCTATCTTTTTTTCCGGCACTGTAATTATAAAGTGAACTTATTCTACCGAAAATTGATCAGATCTTGACAAGATAGAATAATTTAAACCTCCTCCACCAATATTATTTATAATATCAGATATACTTTTATCATAAAAAATTGATGAAGAAAGGTCTGTCTCGGAGTAACGAATGTGCAAAAGATTATTGTCTGAGTAGAACAAGATTTGTAATAATTCAACTTCAGGTCGTTCTGTTTTAACTACAATTCCATTTTGCTAAAATAGTGAGAATAAAAATGATTTGAAAGAATCTCGAAGGACGAATGGAGCAAAAATTTTTACCTAAGATATCAATAAGTGATGGTTCAGGTTATAAGAGACCCGAAAACCTATTCAAAAAATTTTCGAAAACTCGCCACGAACCAAGAATTTTTATGTAACTTTCTCCATTAAAGAAGAAATCTGGCTCGGCTCATCCCTGGATCCTAACAAGGCTTATCCCTGCAAAATCCGTTACCACTATTGAGGATTTTTCATTAATTTGGCGTTTTTTCTCCGTTAATAATGCAGACATTTGCTCTATATTAAATCCATCCGGAAATTTTTGTATAGTTCTAAAGTCCATTCCACCTAGAAGACAACGATCAAAACGGCATGAACGGCAACGTTCCCCTTCAATTTTTTAATATTTTATGTTCAAAATTGCTTAAAATTTTTTTAATACCTTTTTCAATTTGGCAATTTTCATTCTTCTTACAAATGTACGAGCGTTGATTTAGTACAGAACGACGAAAAAATGAACGGCAACCTGTACACAAGTTAAATATTCAGTTTATGATATTTTGAGGACAAAATTTTATTTGATTTTGGAAAAGCTCTGACGTACCTAGACAACTTGGAACATCAAAATGGCAACACTTTGTTGGTCTGGCACAAACAACACAATCAGTTGGCCTAACCTTCCTGCTCTGAAAAATAATGTAATAAAATATCCCTCAAAAATTATTCCTCAATTTCCGATTTCCGGCGTTTTTTTCCTTTCGATTTCCGAAAAAATTTGATTTCCGAGTTCCGACTCTTGAGCCAGTTCTGATTTCCGGCTCTTCTGATTTCCGACACCTCTGACTGTTCCGACCCATCTTTGAAAAGTATTCACTTATCAGTTATGATTTAGGCAATATACAAATGCTTGCCTAATTTAGAGGGTCAGACTAATAAAAATTTGGAAAAATAATTAACAAAATTAATACCAATTTGGTATTCTTTTCATTATTGTTTTCCTTAATAATAACTGCTCGATCATTATTGCTGTACTGAGTTTTAGAAAAACATAAAAGGGCTTCTTTATCAAGTTGATTTTCTAAATCCTCTAAACTAATATAATCACTAGTACTAAATCCAAGTGAATGAAATGATGAAATATTACAAATACTGTTGTTAGATTCTGAATTCTCAAATGAATTTAGAAAAGACATATGCCTGCCTTAAATTATATTAGGAGATTATTAGCATTATAATAGATAACATTCGAAATCTATTTCTTTTACTTCTAACAGAATTCTGTCGAAGTTCTTATTTCAATCGAAATCGTCCTTTTAAACTACAGTTCCTCTAAATCTAACTATATCCCATTAAGAGAAAGAGGGGGCTATATTGCCAAAGAAGATAATACCAAACATTATAATTTGTTTTTTGAAACATAAAAAATGTTAAATTACAAAATAATGAGTTAAAATATTTTAAATTGATATTAAATTTTTCTATGGCAACAAAAATTAAATTAAATGAATGAAGGAATTCTGAATTGAATAAATGAATTTAGAAGAGACATATCCCCGCCTTAAATTATATAAGGAGATTATTAGATTCACTATAAATAACATTCTAGACTCGTTTACTTCTAACAGAGTTCTGTCGAATTTCAAGTTTCCGAAAGTTCCAACTTGATAAAATTTGATTTCTGACTGAAGATATTTGTAACTCTCACTATTAACTCTCACTTTTATGAAGGGGCTATAACGCGAAAAGGACTATATGGCCAAAGAAGATAATTTAAAATTTAAAATAATATAAAACAAACATAATTTGGTTTTTGAAAAAATAATTGTTAAATTAAAAAATAATGAGTTAAAATATTTTAAATTAATATCAAATTTTTCTATGGCAACGAAAATTTAATTAAACACCTTAAATTATATAGGGAAATTATTAGCTTTATTATTATCTTTATAAATTTAATTACTTCCTTTTAACTTTCTAAAGAAAGTAATTTTTTCTTTTACTTCTGACAGAGTCCTGTCGAAATATAGATTCCGATAGTTCCAATTTCTATGAAACTGTGGTTTTAAACTCTAAGGTCCCCTTAACTCTAACTAAATTCCATTAGGAGGGAATAAAGGGATATCCGATTAGAATATCCCATTAAGAGGCACTATTGCCAGAGAAAATAATACCAAACATTATAATTTGATTTTTAAAAAAAATTGTTAAATTAGAAAATAAAAAGTTAAAATATTTTAAATAAAATTAAATTTTCTATGGCAACAAAAATTTAATTGAACAATGAAGTGTAGAGGAAAAAGCACGAATTTAAATGTCTAATGAAATAGTTTTTTAATAAAACTTGTTGTAATAAACTCGTATAACCTTTTTAATAAAACTCGTAAATATAAAATAAATTTTATAATTATCATGTTTAAACATCTTTTGTTTAAATAAACACTGCTTGCCAATAAGCTAAATTATAGTATGTGTAACGAAAAAGAATACGGAAGGCTTCTGCCGACCGATTTAGCATTCAAATTGTTTTTTATTATTTATTCACTTTTATGTCCAATAGTCCAACCCACAATTGTCTAACTACCCGATCCCTAGTAATATCACAATCCTTAGCTTAAAGTTCTTTCATCAGAATGTTCTAATATTACATGCATAAATTTAGGGGGACTTATATTCCGCAGCTTAATATTCTGATTTAGAAATTTTCGATGAGTTTTGTCGAATTGAAATGATGCATTTAAGGTCATCATCTATCAAATGTTAAATTAGAGAAAATATATATCCATTATAATAAAGTATTTTACCAAATTAGCAAATCTCCCTGCCCCGCCTGCATCACCCCATTTGCAACATTCGTAAAACATTAAAGCCTGGTTTTACGCCTGGTTTACGCCCTAAATTATATAAGGAGATTATTAGCATCGTGATACATAACATTCTAGACTCGTTTATTTCTAACAGAGTTCTGTCGAATTTCAAGTTTCCGAAAGTTCCAACTTGTATAACTATGATTTCTGACCGACTCCTGCTTCAAAAGATACTCGTTAACTCTCACTACTCTTACTATTATGAAAAGGGCTATAACGCATAAAGCACTATATGGCAAAAGAAGATAACTTAAAATTTAAAATAATATAAAACCAAACAAAATTTAGTTTTTGAAAAAAATAATTGTTAAATTAAAAAATAAATGAGTTAAAATATTTAAATTAATATTAAATTTTTCTATGGCAACGAAAATTTAATTGAACGCCTTAAATTATATAAGGAAATTATTAGTTTTATTATTCAATTTATATTATTAAATTTAATTACTTCCTTTTAACTTTCTAGAGAAAGTTGAATTTTTTCTTTTACTTCTGAGAGAGTTCTGCCGAAATTTATTTTCCGATAGTTTCAATTTCCATGAAATTGTCCTTTTAAACTTTAAGGTCCTCTTAACTCTAACTATATCCCATTAGGAGGGAATAATGGGATATCTCATTAGAATATCCCATTAAGAGGCACTATTGCCAGAGAAAATAATATCAAACATTATACTAATTTGATTTTTCAAAAAAATTATTAAATAAAAAATAATAAGTTGAAATATTTTAAATAAAATTAAATTTTTCTATGGCAACAAAAATTTAATTTAATCAATCAAGTGGAGAGGAAAAAGCGAGAATTTAAATTATGTAAATTCTAAATAAATACAAAAATTTCATATAAACTCTTTATTAATAAAATTATTAATAAATTACATATTAATAAATCTTTATTAATAAAACTTGTAAATATTAAATAAACCCTAATATATTTTATAACTAAAATTAAATTGTATCTCCTTTATGTGTTGCTGGTAGTAACAATTCAGATATTCATTTTTCTTTAACCTAGTTTCTTCTTTTTGAAGTTTTGAGCTTTTTTGTAATTTTGGTATTTGGTTTCAGAGTTTCTCTATATTTTTAATTTTTGGGGCAACTGATGATTCAACCCCATTATTTATTATTTTATTTATGTAAATCATTTGAAGTTTCCTCAACCCTATAAAATGTTTATTATTTTAACAGAATTAATTAAACTCCATAATATCGATTTAAATTAAAAACATTTATAAATCTCATAAGTTTAATTTTAATCTAAAATTTAAAGGACACTCGGCATTTTTTAATAAAACAAACATATGTATTTCATAGTCGAGTAAAAGTGCATTCTTACTAAATATCATGTCGAAATCTGTTTTCACAGACATAAATAGAAAAGTACAAAAACGTCTGAGAAAATGTTTTTGAGATTACATAATCTATCCAGCTTTAATATTTTGACATTATATTTAACAATAACGACCTTTTACACCTGTGAAATATTTTTTATTGTGTATTCCATTCAACTTTTAATTAATATAAATTTATTATTTAATAATTTTTTATAAATTAATTTAGAATGAAACCTAATAGTGTTTTAATCTTTTTAATTTTCAATTCGATTTTATGGAGTTTAATCAATTCTGTTAAAAATAATAAAAATCAAAACGAGTTAACAAGAGTTGAGGAAACCTCAAGGGACCCAAATAAAGTATCAAATGATGGTGCTGAATCATCAGTTGCTCCTCAAAATGAAAAATATGGAGAAACTCTGAAACCAACTACCAAATTTACGATAAAACACAAAACTGAAAATAATGAAGAAGAAACAAAGTTAAAGCAAAAAGAATATATGAAGAATTACTACCAACAACACAAAAAGGAGATACAAAAACATTGTAGAAATTACTACCAAAATAATAAAGAAAAGAGGCTACAACATAAGAAAGATTACTATCAGAAGAATAGAGATAAAATGTCTCAATATAAACGAAAGTACAGGCAAGATAATAAAGATAAGACTCGCGAGTATAAAAGAAAATACCGTCTAAAGAAGAAAAATGAACGAGAAATCCTACAAAATAATAGGTCAGATTTGGGAAACATGCAGAATAATAATGAAGGAACTTCTCTTCTTAGTTCACAAAACGATAATTTTATTAGAGAGAATACTACGGAAAATAATAAGGCCGAAAAAAAGTTAGCGATAAAAGAATATAATAAGAATTACTATCAAAAGAATAAGGAAAAGCTTCGTGAATCTAGATTGAATAAGAGAGAAAGGAAAAGAGAATATAATAAAAATTATATTCAAAAGAATAAAGAAAGGAGAAGAGAATATGATAGAAAATATTATTTAAAAAGAAAAAATGGAAAAGGAAATTCACAGAATGATAATTACCGTATTTCCTCTAAAATAGGCCCCCTCTAAAATAAGCCCCCTACTCTATAAAAATTTTAATTGTTGATTATTTGTTGTGTCCCCTCAGTTGAGTCCACATGAAGGGATATAGAAGGATTAGAAGTGATTAAGAGGGTATTTGGAAAATTATA